TGAGGTGTCAATCGAGTCGATTTCATCCGTGAAGATAACAGATGAGGATTTTCTCTGCCATCACAGAAACTCCCCAATTAATTTCTGTACCAATTCAGAGCCAGAGATATGAATAAAAGTACAGTCCCTATGATAAGCCAGAGCCCAGGCCAACAGTGTCTTCCAAGCAGCACTCCCTTGGGCTGTGCAATGCCCAGTACTTTGAAGAGCTGGGGATGCTTAGCAGGCAGGTCGATCACTTCTTTGATCTCCTTGATCTGCCTATCCAGTCTACCAATCAATTTATAAGTCGAATCTGGTGCTTTCTTCACCATCATCAGTGACACCAATGAGTCCACCTTGTTGGGTAGGATCTTGTACAAAGTGTAGCTGTCATTTCTTAGAACCACCAGGGAACTGGGTATCACGTCACTGATGCTGATATTTTTGTCCACATCTACGACAAACTTGTTCTTGGGATGCACCTTGACCAACACTTTCTTCTTATCCATGGCCTGGACTACTTCCCCGACATAGGAATCCTGTTCCTGCAGCAGCTGTAACTCCTCCTGAAATTGGCACACTTTAGTATTTAGTTCATTCCTGTGCACCTGCTGCCTCCAAAGGTTTAGGGTCTTATCATTCAAAATCAGCTGCATATGCACCTGGAGTTCAGAACTGTTCCTTGTGGCTTTCCCCCATCCAATTTATATTGCAGTTGACCCTGGAGTTCTTCAATCTTGAACAGATAATACTGGCAGAGTCCACTGCCTGCCTTTTCCTCTTCCGGCTCCATCTGCTGTGGTCTGTCAAGTGCCATCTTGTCTTTTCAGCAGAGAACGCCGGCATCTGCTTCCCTCCCCAAAACTTGACAGCTGTCCAATCATATTTCAATTACAACATTTACATATAGGTTTTACATCAGAAATGTCAAAGTACATCTTTTACTAATGGTTAATGTAACAAAGAAAGACTTCTTTGCTCAGTACTAATACATGCATTATTACTTATTATAGAATTTTCATTAATAATTTTAAATTCAATTTGTGGGAACAGATATACAAAAATAAAGAAGCCATAACATTAATTCATGGAATTTTTCAGCATTTAGCTATTTCTTAGTTTTACTGCAATTTATTGTCAACTTCTAGATAGAAGGGAGAATATGACAAATTTCCATGAAAGCACTCTTATTTTCTATTTCTAAATAATGGGATAATTTAGCAAGATCATTTGGGAGTTTTATTTATTAAAATAGGAATAATGAGCTTTTTCATTTCAGTTTAGAATATACTAATACAAGTTGTTCCTAATACATTTTCTCTGTCTTGTGATTGATGCTTTTGATATCTTATTTAACAGGAAAATACCTAAGAGAGAAAATTAAGGTGTTACAGAAAGAGTTATGGAAACCATGAATAAAGCAACAGAGCCATGATTTTCAATGAAACTCACATAAACAGTTATTATAAAGAAAGAAAATGTAATAGGCTAGTGTTATAAAGACCAATATCACCAAATTCCAAAATCTCTTTTGACCTCTATAAGGGTCTGCTAACTGTATTATATGAACACAGGTACTTAAAATGCTACTAATAATCAAACCTTTTGAGATTTTGGTACCAGAATTACCAGTAACAGGATACAAGCAGAACTTTATCAAACATAAATCATTAGTGCCTACCAATTTCAACCTACTATGTCAGAAAAGGAAGGCATGAGAATTTAGTAACAGGAGAACTCTGTCATTTCTAGTGCCAAGTCTAGGGGTCCTGACAGGTACCTCACTGTTCAGGTCAGAGCTAAGAAACACAATGTTGGTTCATATACAATGCTGGTTCATAGAAAACACAATTTTATCACTTAAATTTTTTCATTTATTTCTGTGATGTAAGTTTATGCCGTGCTATTCTTTGTCTCTCCATAAATGAGCAACCAAAAATCGCTCTTATTATTAGCCATTGGTCTAAAATTAATGATAGCTTAAATATCTAAAAATAAACCAACCCCCGCTCTAAGTACAGTAATGTTGCATTTTCAACTAAAACTAACTATTAACATATCTGGTTTCCTTCAGTGCCTTTCATTTTCCACAGAGAATCAGGTGACTTTGGAGACTGTGTGCTTCACATTTAATACAGGAATTCCATGATTTAAAAAGAATATTCAGTTTCCTAGCTTAAGCAAGGCATTCATAAAATATGATACTCAATGTGTTGTTTGGGTAAGTTATTACCTAGAAAGGTTTATCAGCTATTCTTGAATATGAATCACTATGAGTACACCACGTAGCAATTTCCTCTAAAGAAAACCAAGCAATTTAGTTTTAGAATGAAAAGATCTGGGGAGAAAAGAAAAGTAGATAGTAAAACAGAGAATTTAACTACTGTTATTCACAACACAGCAAAGAAAAAATCAGAAGTTACACACTTCAGAAAAAAGGGAATAGGCCAAAGACAAATGTTCGCATGCTAGAATTTTTTTTTTTTTTTTAAACTAAGAAAATACCTGTACAAGAACAAGGGACACTGAACAAGGGCATTTCACATTTAACCACTCATTGCCAATAGATACTGAGCTCACCTCAGGATCAATCAAAATTGTTAGAAAATGGTCCAAATGAACTAGAAGACTTCCAGCAAGTAACAAACTATACTCATATTTAAGAAGCACCATTTACCTCTATGTAGTTTTATATAGTTCTCAGCAATTTGATTTATATGAGAACTTCCTCAGTGAAAGAATAAGATGATTTGGATATTACTATCAATGCACAGTACAGATGTCAATTAGATGGTAAATTCAATTATTCTTAAATTTTAAAACAAGAGTTTCATGCTTTGTTCAAATATAGCTTATTTTTTTTAAAAATTCCCCTCTTCCACTCTTATGTTAGGTAATATTTACAATGAATTTACAGTCTTTTTCATTTAAAACAATGTCAGTATATCTTGCTATAAGATACTAATTTAAGTGACTGTTTTTAACTTCACTATACCCAAACTTAGCAATATGGCTGTGAGTCAAACAAACTTTGAAAAGGAACCTGCCATTTTCATTAACTCATTCAGACTGTATTCTTTGAAATACATATGGCAGATATGCTGAGGCTATTTGGGGGCTACATTTTAGTAAAGTAGCTAGAGTGAAAACTGAAATAACTACGTAACATTTAAAAGAAATATAAGAGTTGCACTAAGAAACCAAAACCTACATATTATGTAACATAACCTTTTTAATGTTGCTTTTGCTAACACGAAAAAAGTTATGCCGTTATTTATATTTCAATTACAACATTGCTCTTAAAACACAATCTATAATCCGTCTTGTAACCAGATCTGAAAAACACATATTAAGACTATGCTTAGTCTGTATCTCTGGCAAAAAGCCAAAGTAAAACAGAATAATTTTACTTTCTCCTAAACATTCTGGTAAGGGGGAAAAAAAAAAAAAAAAAAAAAGGCCAGATCAAAGTAAGGTGAGGATTCAAAATTGGCAATAAATCCATTATGGACAAACAGTGGCACTAAAGTGAACTTTCAGAACATATTGCTTTCTACATATGCATGTGTGATCTTATTTGAACATGAGTATTTACAAAGATTCTAGAAAGCTAAAACCAACTTGATAACCTAGGCTTTCAATCTTTATTGTATCCCTCATAATAATTAGTTGTCAGTAGTTTCAGCTTAGTATTTAAATATCTATTGTGATTTTATATCTTACTTATACTATTCAGTGTTTGCATAATAAATTTACAAATATTTTAAGTGACATTATATAGAATATTACTTGTATTTTCCAGAATAACGACTTTGACTTTGAATAAAAACTGGAACATTTGGGCTTTAAAAACATTTTTTTCCCTCAATTTCTAAGTTGTTCTTTTTAGGAAGTCACTGACAGAGACTGAATTTAAAGTAAAAATGTCAACTTTGTAAATTTTGTCAAAAAAGGGATTGCTATAAACAGATTTAAGTAAATACTGTTCCAGACAAATATAATAATCGAGTAGCACTTGACACTGACAAACACTGAACTTTCTTTAAAACCATAGGAGCTTCTATTGTAGCAAATGCAGCACAGAACCTTATGACAAAGAGGGGCTAAAAAGTGAATTTAAGCCAATATAGGTTAGAAAGTAAACAACGGAACTATTAAATTGGTGCAAAAGTAATGGCAGTTTTTGCAATGACTTTTGCATTAACCTATCACAAAATCAACTTCCAGGAGAATATAGTTAATCCTCACAGCTGTAATAAATCTCTTCCTTTAAGACTGGAAGACAACAAAACAATTCTCATCACAACAGTAAACCAGTAATAGAAAATGAATCAATTATTCACATTCTAAGAGGTTTTACTTGAGGAGGCTGGGCAGGAGGGTATGAAAGCTTACAAAATCGAAAACATGAAATAAAATGAATTCAAATTAAGACTTCATGGTAACAGAAAAAAATCAGAAAAAGAATTGTTTCGTTAAGGGACAAATATTTTCCATAACTAGTTAAAAAGCACCTATTAAACTGTGCCTTCAGCTGTCAAAATGGAGGTTTTGGATTCCTTTAGCAATTGCAGCATAACAAAAGGCATTTCACAGCATAACTTCAGGGAAAATGTTATCTGATCTGGAATCATACAGAAAGCAATTAAAAACTCTTAATTATTTATAATACACAAATTTTTCTGGGTAGCAGCAGTTGCTCCTGTACTTGCCCTTTTAAAAATGTGAAACAGAAGCCAGAAAGTAGGGGAAAAAATTTAGAGATTAAGAGTAGCAGCGTTAAATAAAACAGCAAATTCTTAAATACATTAGGAGTAAAGAAAGATTAAAACAAGGAAACAGTACTTACTGTGCAACTTTCAATTATACCAAGTAAAGTGCACCACCTAGTCACTGATAACATTTTCCCTATGTTGAAAACACAAAACCTACTTACTGATATTTTTGATATTAAAAAAAAAAAAAGACATTCACTATTGTAGCCCTGACAACTCTTTCAGTATTTTTAACCATTCAGATGTATTATGTGGGAATATTTATTAACATAATTTTGTTTAACACATTTCTTTCTATACAAACTGAATTTAAAAGTGTCTATAACATTTTCAATTACAGTAATAACACATGAATAAATTATAAATTAACAAAATCTTCATATCTACTTTAAAAAAATCATTTATCAAATGCTAACCTCCAGATTATCTGGAAAATTAAAGATGCAAATTATTATAAATCTGGCATCCCAATTAAATTACAATTTTTAAGGTATATAAAATCTCCCTCAAATTATTCCAAGTTTCACTCCAGAAAATTTTATTTTACCCTTTTCTTAAGTTTACAGCCTGCTGAACATTTTACCCAAATTTGAGAGAACTGCCTGGAGATGCAAAGCACAATAAAATAATTACATGAAAAGAACAAACAAAAGATACCCGTTAAAACAGTTATTTTAGCTGGCAGCACTTAAAATTGGTAATCTGTATTTTTTTTAAGTTGCATAGCTGCAAGATGATTCACTGCTGATTAACTGCTGAGCAGTTTTAAGAGGATAAGAATATTTAATAAATTGCAATTCAGTAGAATATTCTATATTTAATTAAAATGTAATTATGTAATGTGATTTGCTCTTTGGACTGCATTCTGATATTAAACCTTTAATTTAAAAATATTAACATATTTTAGCTTTCCTATGTAGAAGTCTATTTTCCACTCTTGGGGGAAAAAATGGAAGAACTTGAGATCATGGTCTACATTCAGAGAATGTTTTTACTGCTTGATTACATTTCTTGGTTTCACATTTAACACTTTAATTTATAAGAAGTAAATTATATGTTTTTCAATTTAAGAACAGATGAATGCAGAAACATTATGTTGGGGAAAACAAAGAGACCCCAAACTGAAAAATAAAACAAATAAAAATATAACTAGTTGTGCAGCTCTGGAGAACTTAATAAAAAGTAAATCAACTTTGAAATCAGTTAACTTTGGCATCTGAATACAAAATGTTTATCAGTATTACCTATGTAGATGACTATTAAGGGATATGCAGCATTTTCAAAATCCCTGTGTGTCCTTTGTATGCATGTTTGGTACACTGAGTTCTGTGGTCACTGTCCTCTCTTCAGCAGGGTTTTTACCCCAGTATGATTGTCCATCTCTGTATTACCAAGTCTCACAAAACTCAGATTTCTGGCTGAGTATGCCTGCATTTTTGTTTCTCCAGAGACAGATCTTCATATCCTCTTGGTTTTTCAAGCATCTTGTAAAGACGAGAAAACCTGTGTAAAAATAGATTTCTCCATGAACACTGCTTTAGTTACTGTAAGTTTTCATACCGTTACTTACTGTTCTGAAAACTCATAAAGCCAGTGATCTGGAGAAGAACAGATTAAGACACAGAAGGACCAATTAAAGTTTAGTCACAAAAAATACATAACGAAGTCATCCCCCTTTCACAATAAGGACTACACCCAAGTAAAGAATGCACACACACAGAGTTTTAAAATATTTCTCCTAAGTAACTAAAAACCCCAAAAAAAGTACAGCAATTTTCTAACTAATTAACACCACAAATATTCATGTCTCTCTATTTTGGGTTGATTGTTAAATTCTTATGCTGAAGGATATCGAAAACGTTGAGCTTTATGGCTACAGAGTGCCTTACAAAATGTTTTAACAACACTGAATCCTCCTCAAACCCATATACCTTTAATCTAGGACTATTAAAATGCATACAAAAATGTATCACTTGATAAATAAGGTCAGGACAGAAGCAAAAATGTACAAGAGTCAAGATATTCCATGTCTATAAATTCTTAAAAATGACTCTTCAAGACCCACAGAAGCAGACTCCATTGATTCAGATTTCTGTAGACACCTGATGAACAGAGCATGTGGTAGGCTAGTTTCAAATTCAGGTTCTATATATGAAAGCAAACAAATAAGCAAATATAACACTCATATGTAACATAAGAAAATGGAAATGTTGTTGAAGACCAACAGACATATGCATTTCAGCTATGAGATGAGATGTATGCTCCACATATCCCATAAGCTCACTGTGACACTAAAGGAAAAATTCAGCCGATGAAAGAAAAAAATTGTATACGACATAATTCCACCTCACAAAAAAACAGCTTATCAGCTCTATGGTCTAAATATTTGTGTACTCCCAAAATTCCTATGTTGACACCTAATCTGCAGTGCTATAGTATTAAGAGGTGGGACCTTTGGGACATGATTAGGTGATGAGGGCTCTGACCACATAAATGCAGTATCATTACAGAAGCTTGAGGGAGTCTGTTGTCCCACCACATGAGGACACACATAAGGTGCCATAAATGAGGCATGAGCCCTCATCAGATACCAAATCTACTGGCTGGAACCTTGATCTTAGACTTTCCAGCTTCCAGAACTGTAAGCACTATATTTCTATCATGTATAAACTACTCAACTAAGGTATTTTGTTACAGCAGCCCAAAATGCACTAAGAAAGAATAAAAAGACAAATTTTACCTATAGATGAAGGATTTAGATGTATTACTTTGACATGTAAAATACTAAGACAAAAATTTCATTCTGTTAGCAACAGTTTTCAGTACTTCCCTTACAATGCTTCTATAATTTTAGCCACAGTTTCGTTTTGTCTCAAACGTAAGGTGACAATGAAGGCATTCCAAACCTTTTCTATGGTGAAATAAAAACATATGTGCACATATATTCAAAATACCACTCCACCACTATACTTCTCTTACCCAGTATTCTTACTTCCATTCACATTTTATTTACTTATCTATTTAGACAGGGACTTGCTCGGTCACCCAGGCAGGAGTGCACTGGTGTGTTCATAGCTCACTGCAGCTTCAAACTCCTTATCTGAAGCAATCCTCTGGCCTCAGCTGCCCAAACCTGGGATTACACTGTGAGCCACAGTGCTCAGCCTCAATTCATATTTTAAATGTGTCAAGCCATATTCTGAGTAAGTTCACAGGAAAGGTTAAAATCTGACCATCTTTTAGTACTCTACAGTTTACCAAGGCTTTCACATTTCACATGCACATGCGTAGTCTTATGAGACTCAACTGCAGTTCTCATTTCAGGTGCTATTGCTGCTATTATCCCAAATCTTCTCTGTCAATATTCTAATCTGCTACTCTTAAATCATCTTCCACCAATACAGCAACAGAATTCCTTGACTGTGTTTATTACCTCAACATTTTTATTCTCAAATTTAAGAGAAGTTATTGAAATAAAAGGAAATGGGGGGACCAGCACAGGACTAGACCTCAGGATGTCATCTGGTCTAGTTCCTTGCCATCAGTCTCAGCCTCCCAGAAAAGTCCGCTGTTACTGTCTTGAGTCCCTGAACAAAGAGACTCTAACTCATGAAATTTAGCTAATTCTAGGATTAGCTAAAATGCTCTGCCTTGATATAACAATCCAATGCTTTATATCGTCTCTGCAAGTCTTTTCATAAAAGCTTTTCATATATTTGAAGATAGCAATTAACCTTTATTTTTTCAAAGCTAAATGATGTTAATTTGATGTACTTATGAAATGTGAAAAAAAAAAAGGCCTATGAAAATACCCAATTGAGGTCAGCATTCAATTCACTAAACATTTTCAGATAATGCAGAATCACAAAAAACTTAAATCAATAGAACAAAACTAGTTTTTTTTCGGTTGTAAAATGCAGCTTTATTTTTTGCCTACTATATAGACAGGCACTTTATTACATGTTAAAAATATAAAAGTGAATGATTAAATTGAATGAATAAATTTATGATGCGACTTTTGGAAGAAAATGTTCCTACCTAAAAAGAGTGAAATTGCTAAGAGCAGTCTTTGGAACCAGAATGCCTGGGTTCAAATTTCATCCCCAACAACAAACTAGTTATCTGACCTTGAAAAGTCAAGTTTCTTAACCTCTCTATACTTAACTTCTTCATCTGTGTAATAGGAATAGTAATGGTACTGAGCTCAAAAGGGTTACTGTAACAATTAGATGAGTTACTAATAGATGTAAAATGCTTACAACAACATCTGGCACATAATACTAAATGATTAGAACTATTATTTTTTGGTTTGGTTGTTTTTGAGGGAGTCTCGGTCTGTCGCTCAGGTTGAAGTACAGTGGCATGATCTCGGCTCACTGCAACCTCCACTTCCTGGGTTCAAGTGACTCCTTTTTTTTTTTTTTGAGACAGAGTCTCGCTCTGTCGCCCAGGCTAGCGTGCAGTGGCGCAATCTCGGCTCACTGCCAGCTCCACCTCCCACGTTCACGCCATTCTCCTGTCTCAGCCTCCTGAGCAGCTGGGACTACAGGCACCTGCCACCAGGATTGGCTAATTTTTTTGTATTTTTAGTAAAGATGGGGTTTCACTGTGTTAGCCAGGATGGTCTCGATCTCCTGACCTCATGATCTGCCCACCTCGGCCTCCCAAAGTGTTGGGATTACAGGCGTGACCCACCACGCCCGGCCTCAAGTGATTCTTTACCTCAGCCTCCCGAGTAGCTCGGATTACAGGCGTGCACCACCATGCCTGGCTAATTTTTGTATTTTTAGTAGAGACGGAATTTCACCACACTGGCCAGACTCGTCTTGAACTTTTGGCCTCAAGTGATCCACCTGCCTGAGTCCTCCCAAAGTGCTGGGATTACAGGCATGAGCCAGCATACCCAGCCAACAATTAGAATTATGTAATATTTTTAATGTAAGTTTTCTATGCAGTAGCCTAAGTGTCTCAAATATACACACACACACTTATGCACCTCAATGAGTAAATGAATAAATTAAAATTACAGTTTAGAATGTATAATTTGGGCTAATGCTTCAAAAAGTAATTACAAAAAAATTACCTATAAAACAGGAAGCTGATGCTTAATCTGAAGGGTGCTCAGGGCAAGATCTATTTACTTCAAACCATTCATCTATGCAGCTAGAAAGGAACAAAACCAGAAAAATTGAGATACTTATACTAATTATGTATATCATGACAGTCACAGTAAAAATACTTACTTCTTGACTTTAATATATTTTTTGCAGAAAAAAATCAGCATTTTAAATTATATTTGGCATACATAAGTAACAGATAAGAATGTTTATTATATTTTGATTCTAAGCAATTAAGAAAAAAAACTTTGCAAAAATATGCTATAAAGTCCTTTAAAGTTCAAATGGAACTACTTCCAAAAGATAATCTGAAGAACTAGCACTTTACTAATATTCAAAACTGAATGACAAATTCGGATAATTTCTCTTTTCAAAACAGTTATTCATTTATGCACATTATCAAGCTGTTCATGTCACCTAATAAATGTAATAAAAAACAGCTTTTAAATTGTAATCCTTGCCAATATTTCATCATTTTTAAAGCTATATTTATATGCGATTATTGAATATTTAAATTCTAGCTCACCATGTAATACATATACACACACAAATAAATATACCATAAATCATTTGCATTTATGAAGTATTTCATGATCTGATTTTATTAGAAGCTAAATATTAGGGTGCATATGATCATCGTCATTGTAGATCTGCACTGTCCAACAGAGTAGACAAGAGCCACATACTGGTTATTTAAGATTTATTTAAATAAAATTTAAAAATCCAGTTCCTCAGTCACACTAGCCACATTTCAAGCGCTCAACAGCAACATGGCTCATGACTACTCTAGGGGACAGCATAGATATAGAACATTTCCATTATGGTAGAAAGTTCTATTTCACAGTACCATGACAGATGACAAAATCAAAGTCTAGTAACTAGCTATTACTTTCCTAACAGCTAGCAAGTTATCCAAGCAGCATTCAACCTGTTCAACATTTTCACTGGTGACACATATTTCAAATTTGGATATGCCGCAAAGCAACAAGGCTTGGTTAATATACTGAAGGGCAAAATTAACATTTATCATCCTCATGTCCAGAGAGGTTGGTTTGGTAGGAAAAGTGATAGATGAAATTAAAAAGAAAAAAGGTAGAGTACCACATCAACAGGTTCTTTCAAATATCTGAATTTCAGTTGCCATTAAAACTTTTGTTCTCTAAATATATACCAGTTTGGCTTAAGACGTTGTTTTCAGCCTGCTCTCTACCACTTGGCCCTGGAAGTTCCATTGTGTCTACCAGAAAATCTCTTAAAATGAAATTCTGAGATTCAAACAACATACTCCAGATGTGTTAATTCATAATATATCTGAATAGTATCTATTTGCAATCTAACATGAGTACTCCTTATTTTACAACCAGGTAATTCTGGCTCATCATGAGAAAGTAATCATTTAAAACTCCAGGTCCTCTTCACATAAATGTCTATCAATCTACTTATGTTCCATTCTAAGCTATATTTATTTGTTATTTACATGATTATATTACCTTCTCTCAGACCCAGCAGGAAAGCACTATCCTCAATTTGGTACTTTTCATTCCTAGGCATCTTATTACTCTATATAACTATATATGCGTATATTCTAAAACAACATACAGTACTGTTTCCATGTTTAAAATTTTATATAAATGCTATCATAAAACAGCATTATGCTTTTTGTAACTTGCTTTTTTTGCTCAATTTGAGATTTGCAATTGTTAGTAAGTCTCTTGTTTTCATATTTTCACTTTTTGTTTTTTGAGACAATCTTGCTCTGTCGCCCAGGCTGGAGTGCAGTGGCAACATCTCGGATCACTGCAAACTCTGCCTCCCAGGTTCAAGCAATTCTCCTGCCTCAGCCTCCCTAATAGCTGGGATTACAGGCACCACCTGCCACACACCCAGCTAATTTTTTTTTTTTTTTCCAGTAGAGACAAGGGTTCCCCATGTTGGTCAGGCTAGCCTTGAACTCCTGACCTCAGGTGATCCACCAACCTCAGCCTCCCAAAGTGTTGGGATTCTAGGCATGAGCCACCGCACATGGCCTGTTTTTACATTTTCATTGTGCACAGCATTCCATTATATAAATATACACAATTTACATATACATTCTTTTACTGGTGGATATTTTCAATGATGCTATGAATATTCTTTGAGATAAGGAGTTTGTGCCCAAATACAAGTTAATTTCCTCATTAAGCACACTGTTTCAAATCACTTAAAATCACAGCAAGGCTTTCTCAATGAAAGAAGCATAGTGTTGACTTAACTGGCAGAAACTCCTTATTGCCTTCTGGACTTGCACTTTGAATAGTAGCACTGTCTTATAGCAAAAGATCAAGAGTTTCTCTAGGGCATACATGCAGAGGTGGAATTACTGAGTTGTAGAATATGTACTCCACACAGCTATTACAGAGTTATCTACAAAATATGCCTATTTGTATTATTTATTGGCCAATTGAGGGTCCTTTTTTCTGAACTGACTGATAGTTTTCTAGGAAACTATTATCCAGGTATTTCAGTTATAACATACAGGTTTTTGACAAACACTGCTTTCCACAAAACTGTAAGCTAAAAGTAACAGGGCTTGGGGGAAAAGTCAGGTTAAAGGCAGACTACTCAAATAACACAATTTTATCACCAGAACAAAGACATGCTCATTCCTAATAAATAGAACACTACTGTAAATATGTTTTTTTTTTAATGGTGAAGTTAGCTTTACAGAAAGAGGTAGGATTGAGACTGCTGAGTTACAAAGAAAAAAGCTAATGCACAAATTGTGAGAACTGTGAAATAAGGACTCCACAACAAAGCCCATGGTCTAACTAAACTAAGAGTAAGGACACGGGGAGATGAGTATACTGTATTCTTACATAGCTCACTGTTAGCACAGATGCTTTCCTCTGCTGTTATCTGATGAAGCAGAACATTAATGTGCTGGAAAATCTTAGGTAGAACCAGTAAGATCCTGATTATATTGTCTTCACTCTCTCATTTACCAATTGCAATGAGTTCACTGCATTACAGAAAGTCATAGAGGGAGAATATTATTTCCAATACCAAACCTCTTCTATTATGTGTGTTGAAAAACAATCCTAGTATAAAGTCTAGTTTTTTACTTTCTTGCTGTATCATGATACAAATAAGTTTTAAATTTTAATAGAGCCAAATTTATTAATTTTGAAATTATTTCTTGGGGAGAAGTGTATCCCAGACAAAAAAATAATTCCCTACCAAGAGGTCAAAAACATTTCCACTATTTTCTTTCCTCACCACTTTAGATTTTGGTTCTCAGAGGCAGGTGTTTAATCAACCTAGAATCGACTTTTATTTCAAATGCAAGATAAGGACTCAACTGTTTTTCCATATCAATAACCAACTGATCCCAGCACCATATATTGAATAGTTCATTCTTTCTCTCCTATACTGTAATTCCATCTCTGGCAAATCAATTTTTTTCATTTATTCAACACTTATATAGCATCTATTATGTATGTGTCAGCACTCGTTTATACCCTTACAGTCTATGAAGTTGTTTCTATTGTCCTCATCTTATGAATTGAGAGAGAAAAAAACTAACTTGACCAAAATCACACAGAGAATTAGTGGAGGAGCTGGGATTCAAATACTGAGTGTCTTGACTTCAAAGTCCATGCTCTTAACTCCCATGCTATGCTTTCTCTCCAGATAGGCACAAGTGTTTATGGACTCCATTCCGTTCCACTGGCTCACCTGTGCCATTTCCATACTGTCTTAATCAATATGGTCTTATAATAAATCTGTACAGGACAAATTCCACCAACATGGTGTTCTTCTTCATGAGTGTCTTAACTGTTCTTGGCCCTTCACTCGTTGGTCCCCATGTAGTTTTGGCAGCGACTTGTCAAATTACATGAACTAACCAGTTGAGATTTGACTTAGGTAGTATTAACTATATAGATCAATCTGAGGTAAAATGACATCATTATGACACTGAGTCTTCCTATCTACAGTATGGTATATGTCCAGATTTATTTCAGATTGCCTATATCTTTCAATAAAGTTTTCAAATGTTATCTAAAGTCTTACATATCTTTTATAAAATTTAATCCTAATATGCCTTATAGTCCTTTTAGTCTCTGTTGACATTAATGTTACAGTTTAAGATATATTTCCTTTTTTCTTGTTGCAATATGAATGCAACTTATTTCCATAGGTTGATCTCATATCCGGCAACCCTGTTGAACTCTCATGAATTTTAATAATTTATCCAGTATTTATTGTTAGCTTTTATTTTTAAATCATTAATATGCAAGGATAGAATTTTACTGAAAGCTTTCTCACATTTATTAAGTTAATGTTTCTTTAATTTGTTAATGTAGTAAATTACATCTACACATTTTCTATCTTACAGTATCTTTGCATTCCTAGCATAAATGCAACTTGGTCATGAGGCATTATTTTAGATATATATTGTTAGATAGTTATTGTTGAGTTGGGTTTGTTGATATGTTTTTGGACTTTTATATATATGTTCATAAATGAGAGTGCTTCCTAATTTTCTTTCCTGTACTGTCATCTGAGTTTGGTATCAAGTTTATACTTTTCTCATAAAATAAATGGGAGAACCTTCCATCTTTTTCTACTTTTTTGAAGAATCTAAGGTTGTTAGCATGGTGTTCTCTGGATATCTGGTAGAATTCATCGTTGCATTGTCTCTACAGGCCTGTTTTTTCTCATTATTTTTAATTTCTACTGCGTCTGAATTCACATTCCTCATTTTTTCCCTCTAGAGGCAATCCTGTTCTGAACCAACTGGTGGTTTGTGGGTCTCTAGTATGTCATTTTAAAATTTATTTTCTTCTCTGACATTCATTATTTTCTTCTATTTTCTTTGTGTTTATTCCGCTGTTACTTTTCTAATTTCTTAAGTAAGAAACTTGGCTTCTTTGATTTTCAGCCTTTCTTTCTACTGTAACACGAACCTTCTGAGGATCACTCTAGGTACTTGTCAAAAATACCACTGTAATTCAGTTCTGAGTATTTCCTGCATTCCATGATGATTTTTTCTTTGATCCACAAGTTACTCAAAAGTATTTATGAGGATTATTTACCTTTTTATTAGTGACATCTAATAGTAGTCAGTGTACAGCATCCTATATGGCACCAATTCTTTGTGCTTTGCTGCGATTTACTTTATGGTCTAGGACATGATCAATGTCTATAATACTTCATGTGTGGTTGAAAAATATGTATTCTCTACTTAATTGATGGGCACAGATACAAATATGTATACACATTAATTAGATCAAACTTGTAACTGCATTGCTCTATTTTTCTAGGTCTTGATTCATTTTTTGTGTACGTGGCTTGACTCAATGAAAGGTATATTGAAATGTCCCATTCTGATGCTAAATTTGTCAGTTTTGTCTGAGGGTTTTATAAATATTTTGAGTTGTTATTAGATACATAAAAATAGAATGTCATATACTTTTTGTCATTCTATAGGAATTCTACCCCTAATAATGCTTTTTGCTGTAAAGTTTGCTTTGTCTAATACTACTAGTTTAGCTTTGCAGATTTTCTTTTAGTTAATATTTGCCTGGATATAGTTTTCTATCCTTTTACTTTCAACTACCTATCCCAACCTTTCAATCTGTTTTTCAGCTAGTGGGTTTGTTCTATGTATATTTATTATAACTGATATCTTTGGATATATTTTTGTCTCCATATTTTGTTTTATTTACTCTGTTTTCTCTAAGTTTTCCCCCACCCTATCTTTAAGTATTAAGTACCGTATTTTCATCAGGTTGAAAGTTATAGTTTTCTTTTTGTGGTTACCTTAAACTTTTTTTTAACCCCCAATTTTTTCTGTATCACTCTAAAAGCAAGAAGACCATATGAGAAAGCAGACAGGTTTTGGAGTCAAGCAGATTCCAAATCTACTGGAATCTCAGCTCTGCCATTTACTAGCCTTGTAACCTTGAGGAAATTCCATACTGCCCCTTAGCTTATTTCCTCAATTGTAAAATGCAATGGTTACAAGGCTTACATGAGATAATCTATTTAAGAAGCTATGGACAACAGCTGGGTCATAGCACATGCTTTAAAAATAGTAGCCTTTTGGATACAAACAGATGTGGGTTCAAGTCTTAGTTCAAGTAGAGAAAAAAGATCATTAAGTTTTAAGAAGTGTGTGTGAGACAGGGAGGGGGTGGTTTCAATGAAGATTCCTTTTCAGCCCTAATTATAATGTCAGAAACTGTGAGAATAATCTTTTACTCTAATACCAACTTGGTGAACTTACCCTTTATGATATATGCATAGACAAGGCAGTCGTGCTATAGTATCTCCCTGCTGCAATTCTTCAAGGCATATTGCACATTCCCCAGCATCTTTACTCAGTACATCCTCTGAAGAAAGATAAAATGAATTCAGGGCAATAAAATTATCCATCAAATTGAAAAAAGAATTATGTGAATGCTAATAAATAAAAAGTTGTGATTCTACCTTACTTGGCATACCTTTTCATCAGAAATACATAAAACTCAGCACGTGTATCTGAAATACTATTCATAAATGACTGAATAATGTTCATCTTTACTCCCAGTGTCTCGCGTTTTCATTTCTATTTTACTGAAGCATTTCAGTAAGCAAAAACAGTACAGAATCACCCAAGTTGTGCAGATTTTGCTCTATAAGTTTATCAATAAGCTAGTTATTTGTACCGTGAATTTCTTTTCCTTTAATGTGATCAAGATAGTTCAAAGAATTGTACAGTGTAATGTGGTGAAAAAGACACGAAAACAAAATACTATAATTTTAAAAATTACAAAATAATAAAATTGGGTAAGTTCAAGAAATCACTGCGAATGTGGGACTTTTAAAAAGTTGCTTAACTCAAGAAAATGCAAAGGAATATCAAAAGTTTTGTGTAGATTCTGAAAGAGACTTTTGGAAATTTGATGACTTCAGAATTGGATGCAGCAATTCTTCATAATCTTTTTCCATGACAATGCCAAGCCTACTCCAGGCATTAATTAGAGTGGCTTCCAAAAGATCTGCAGGGTATTTAAAAACGAACAAACAAACAGACGAACAAACAAAAAACTCTATGGTATGCTTAAAATCTCCAAGGGTGGCCGGGCGCGGTGGCTCAAGCCTGTAATCCCAGCGCTTTGGGAGGCCGAGACGGGCGGATCACGAGGTCAGGAGATCAAGACCATCCTGGCTAACCCGGTGAAACCCCGTCTCTAGTAAAAAATACAAAAAAATAGCCGGGCGAGGTGGCGAGCGTCTGTAGTCCCAGCTACTCAGGAGGCTGAGGCAGGAGAATGGCGTAAACCCGGGAGGCGGAGCTTGCAGTGAGCTGAGATCCAGCCACTGCACTCCAGCCTGGGCGACAGAGCGAGACTCCGTCTCAAAAAAAAAAAAAAAAAAAAAAAAAATCTCCAAGGGTAAATCTCTTCATAATGCAAATTTTTCTTTTAAAAATTATATTCTAATGCTAAATTTTAATTTTAAAAAGCAGTTTGCTTAAAATAGAGTATGTAAGCCAGATTTACTTTGTTACTCTTTTTTAAACGCAGAACAAAACATGCCATTACTGAAGAACATGGATAAACTGCTCCAGAGTATATGTTCTTCGTTTAGAGAATGGAAAGCTAAAGCAGGAACATGCAATATGAATTTATACTATAATTAACAAATTACTGCTTTTCAAAATAAAAAATCAAATATGCTAAACGGGAAAGACTGCATCAATCTTTACCTAAATTCTGAAAGAAACAGAAAGGCAGGGACGTTTTCTAAAGTTATATATTTGTTTGATATGCCCATTCTTCCTATAAAAACCAATCAACAAATTCGACTGTGTACATTATCTGTAATAGTACCTTGCAGAAAAATTCATTCTATAAGAAGTGGTTCTTCCCTTTAATTATTCATTTGAGACTGCACATTAAGAGGGAACACAGACTCTATTTGGTCTACATAAGAGAAGTTACCAGGAGATGATTTACTCAGAAGGCTGGAGGAGGTAACAGGGCACCTTCTGCAGAATAAGCAAAGGCCTCAGCAAGAAGGGTTTATATCAGCTGAACGGACTGAATACGTTAGGAGTGATTTCAGCTAACTACTGGGCAGCTCACAGGCTAATGTATTACAATCAGAAACTTAAGCAGGTAAAGATTTCTGGACAAGCAAAGCTGGATAAATGGAAAATGTTATTACCACTTCCTTGAAGTGCCCTCCCTTTCCCCAGTTTTTTTTTTTTTCTCTTGGCCCTAGAGATCCTACCCACTACTCCCACTCCATCCTGCACCCCATGCCTTTTCTCATCCTCTTGATCTCCATTTTTCTCTTACTGTTCTGGTATCTTTCAATAGGAGATTCAGATAGGGAACAAGTTCAATGTAAAGCATCTTACTGATAGCAGTGAGAACAAAAAGAAAAAGGATCTAAAGGAAACACTAAAAAAACTTGGTAAAGGTCTATAATTCCAAGTAATATGGTATATTCTCACCACTTACATATTTTTTCATCACAAAGATATACCATTCTTATAAAATAATTATGTGAGAGTAAGTTTCACAACCAATTTTAAAAAGTCAACCACCACTTTTTTATCAAACCTAAAACATCAATGGTCATAATATGCACCATTAGCTTTATATACCACCAAAAAAAAAAAAAAAAAAAAGCTTCCATTAAACTATGATGCAACATCGATTTTAGACGTATCTCATTTTCAGAGCTCTTCAAAGTCTGAGATGAGAATATTTTAAAAGGTCTAAATTTTATCCTATTTATAAGAAAATTTATAGTACAACAAAGACAAATCCAGCCTACCTATAACTAACAGAATGATACATATTTTAAGAACACAATGCTTAAAATTGACAGGGACGAGACTTATCCCTCAGATGCTTTGCAGGTACTAATTTTAAACAATCTTTTTAGTGTAATTCAGAATGCTGGGTTAAAGTCATTTAAAAGATAAGCTCCCTTAAACCCTAGCAATAAAAAATAATCAGAACTGTACTTCAGAATTGTATTTTCTGTTCAAGAAAAGTATACCTGTACACAAAAACATCCCGAACACACTGATTTCAGTGTAGAAACAGCCTAATATCTACTAAAAATAGCTTCTAGTGAAATAATCTCTGCTCAGAAAATTAAATGCTAATGTTAACATATTGTAGCCACTGATCTGAGTTTTGATGAGCAACTCTGAGTTAGAAGATAGTTCACTCTGACTTCAAAACCTCATGATTCCAGCTTCAAATAGCAAATGCTTAATTTTCACATTTTAAAGTCTTGTTTACACTAGAATGTGTCTTTGTAGGTTTAAAAACACTTTCAGTTTTGAAAATTCACTGTGGAATGTGATTAATTTTTGCCTACCTGAGGGTTTGCTAGAGTAGTCCCCTCTCTCACCCCTATAATGACACTTTCATTCAAAGGAAAGTTTTGAGCTTTTGCCTTCACATAGGTAACTAGGTTTCACAATTTTGAAAGACTTGTTAGTAATGTAATACATTCATACTTAAAAATAGGACCTGGAAATACCACTAAACCCAGGATACTAAAGCATCTTCAAGACAGTTGGGAAAAGATAAAAAATCTAAAGATCAACCAGTTGAAAACATTCATGAAGATATCACCCACAGGGATTAAGAGTCACACTTCAGAACCGGAATATCTTGGGGTAGACTACTAACTAGCCAAAAGTGATATTAAAGCAGCAGAGAAGGGAACACTCACAGATTTAACTACAATAGTTGGCTAGTCTGGATTCCTCCTCCACAAGCAACAATCAATGGAGACACGCGAGATTGTAAATAGGGAACTAAACGTGTTGCTTTATAAGACATCTTAACATCTACAGTACCTCAACATCTAGAGTAGTAAATGTTAAATAAGCGCATTGCTTACCAATTTAGTGCCTTGTCTTATTCATGTAATCTATGCATTAATTTAGATGTACTGATTACAGGAAAAGAAAAGTTAAAAGACTGGAAAAGAGCAATGATTTTTAACCAGAAGTGGGCACTAGAATCACTTCAATGGGTGCATTTTCAACATTTAACAAAAAATTGTATGTACCTGACCCCCATCCCTGGAGATTCTGAAATATATGCCTGCCTCACAAATGCGATTGCTATCAAAGAACAGCTTAGAGCCTAAGATTTAAAGTTGAAAACTTAATATGAATTTCCATTCTCACGAACAAAAATGTTCATCAACCTCAAGTTTCCTTTTATTCTTCTGCTAAAGGTACTCAAAATATTAGAGATGAAATTTTAAAGAATTGTACGAAAAAAATTTTTAAGTTATAAAAAACACTATACAAAATGTTAGTTATTACCAGATAGTAAGTACTTCATGCACCTCTCCAAAAACAAAGTCAGTCATCTTCCTATTTCTTTTGCTCTCCATCTTGGTATTCCACTTGTTTCAAAATTAAACAATGTCATCAAATAACTCCATGAAGACCACGAACTTAGGCACCTATTATAACCGCCAGGTTGGGAACAACTCCAAGCAGATGACGCTGCCTAATTAATTTATGTTTTGGCTTCATTCCATATTTTAAAAGGATTAAAAATATGCACTTAACGTGCTTTTGACATATTTAAGTCACATGTTAATCCTATGAAGTAATAACTATTGTCACCTTCATTTTACACATAAGGAAACTGAGGCTCAAAGAAGTAAAGTAACTTACCAGAAGTTACTAAACTAGTAAGTCCTGGGGTCAGGATTCAAATTTAGACTAAGTCCTTGGCATTTTTCCTACTTCATGAATTCTTAATTTCACTTTAAAGTAACACAAATATCAAAGCAACTGGACTGTTTTAAACAACTAAGTTTTAAATAAGCTACATATTTAGAGGAAGTACTCTCAAGACTGGTCACACGCTTTATCTTCTGGATAAAATAACTGAAATGACCTTACAATTAACTGCTTACACAATTTAAAACAGCTCTGTACAACAGAACTACGGAGGGTGATGAAAAAACATTTTTTATCTGTGCTGTCCACAATGGTAACCACTAGCCACATATGGCCTGAAAACAGCACTTGAAATGTGGCCTGTGAAACTGAGAAACTGAATTTTTAATTTAATTTTGGTAAAATATGAAACTTTAAAATATATAATGGGTAATGAATACACATTTATAAACTAGTTACAAACTTCTGTTACTTGATATTTCACTTACAGCTTCTCAAGCTCTTAAAATATGCATTGTCCAAAGAAATTACTTAAAATTCAAGCAGCCAAATATGCAAAATTAAAATACTTAGCAGGTCCAAGCACATATCCATATAGTTATTGCAGATCAAGACAACATGAAAAAAAAAAGAAAGCAAACAGCCAAAATTCTTAAAAAAAACAAAAAACAAAAA